ATAAGATAAGCTACTAAGCAACAATAAGTAAAACGTTTTAGTGTATTATAAAGAACATATCTGTAAATTTTCATGTTTCTCTGACTATTTTTCGTTACACAATTAATAAAAACGCCATTCCAAAAACTTTTTTCGTGCACTGTATTTATTGTAATATGTTTGCTATCTGATTTTCCCCTGACTCTAGTTCTCGGTTTATATACATGGACTGACATTATTTGTTTTATTTTTACGAAATCTTCTTAATATTAATGACCACAATGAATAGTGCATTAGGATTCTCATATTGGAAGGAAACGGCACCTGAAAGATTGGGATCCCTTAATTATCACAAGTCACAAATGGCCTCTAAAAGACAGGTAGTCTTGGCAGCTAAAAACCAGCTTGAGTGGTTAAGTATGCATGAAAATCCGCAAGAACAACAGGCAAGGCAGCCTTGATGGTATTAGTATTGGACAAACAAGGAGTAAATATTTCCATTTATCGTGTGATATAATGGAAGCTGTGACAGGGATAACCGGCTCGCTTGTATATCCAGTTAGATTAATATCTAGCTGGAGTATCAGAGGAAAGAACAGTTTGATTATCGGTGTAATAATAATTTTTTTATTTATTTAATTAAATAGTTTCAGCACAACATTCGAGTAAGAGTTTATACCTTAACAATAGGAGGTATAAAGAGCGCGCCTGCAAATTTAGCTACGTCTTGAGCTAATTTTGCCGAACGTAACAGTACATTACCAGTATTAAATATATCGTATATTTAAAATGCCATGAAAAATTAGTTCATAGTAATTATAATTATAATAGGTTGTGTGAGCCAAAGTGTGCCACTAAAACAAGTCTCAGTTGATTTCAGCCACATCAGCTCCCATAACTCCCTTTGTTGCAGTCTGCCCAATGTGACTATATTAGTCTCGGTTATTTGGATTCAATATCAGATATCTATTCCATTGAATTGTCATCTAAGTGACGACGATGAATCTGTCAATCGAGAATGCGCGCGCTTTCATTCACAGTTGTGTTGTCAATACTAGACTACGTTTGTGGCACAGAATAATTGGCTCACGGAATGACGCTGCGAGCGAGCCATGGATAAATAGCTATCAAAACTCAATAGTTGAGACAAAATCCAGCTACAAACTTTCTGACCAAACGAATCTCAAGTATATTATGAACATGGTACAATTTAATATTTCTACACATACGCTATGATACACACCCTGTTGCATACTACCATCCTCGCTTAATTGACAATAATTGAAAGACTTACATTGTATTATTAAGCAATAATGAAAATATCCAGCATTTCACAAGGCTGGTTGATGTAACAAATATTCTGCACATAGAAATGGAATTCGATGTGAATAGCGCAAACCTGAATCTGGAAAAGACAGAAAGGTATTGTATAGAACAAAAGCAAAAAGATAAGAATACATTACCTTCGCAAAGACTAGCAACGCAATCAGAACATTCAGAATTTGGCTTTTTGCACCCACAACCACAAAGTTCTACCCCATCCTCATCGATTATTACTGAGTGTTCTGGATTTATCAATTTCTTTATGTCTATCCGACAGCATTCATTACTGTCTATGGAACTTGAAGCTAAATTACTACGCCGCTCCCCTGATTGTGAATGGGTAGTACACCCATCACAAGAGCACGATGGACCGCAATGACAAGCACGCGTCCCACAACAACTTCCATCATCAAACGTAGATGCACAACTTTGAAATGGCCGATAGATCATGTTAACAAGATCTTCTGAAGAACCCTGAGTCACAGTCTCACCCAGGACTTCACTCTCATATATAGCATAATCTTCACAATCATCGTCTTGACGGGACAAGCACGGCTCAAGGGAGTCTTGAGGCGATGGAGTAGTCGATTCATGAGAGATTTGTGATAATAAATCTTGTGAATCGGATATCGACAATTCGATTTGTTCAAAAGATTCAGACGTGTTCGACGAGACGCTACTGATATCTTCATTTCTATCCGGTACGACAACAGTCGATGAGGGTAGACAGAGTGAATTACTAGAAGGTTCTTGAAACGATAGACGTGGTGCCAATTTTCGAACGGTTACAACCTCGGGTGAATTGCTCTTTCCTTTACTATTATTGTTCATATGGCATTGTTTATTAGGTTTGCTACGTCTCCGACGTCGTTGACCCGATGAATCCTTCTCTTCATCAATTGGTCGACAGCAAATGCATTTAGCTCCTATCCTACATCTACAAGGGTTCAGCAAAGCCTCAACTACAAATGCCATTGTTATACTTAGTATGAGATAGAAAACTAACGGTGGCTGCTTAACAGTAACATTCCTACCTGAATGCTTATAATTCAGACCAATATTGGCTCCAGTTAAACTCGACACATCAATGTTTGGATTACTGAGTGAAATTGCACTTTGAGTCCCTGGTAATATTACTGCAATTGACCGTTTGATATATCAGAAATGAAGACTCTACAAACAGTAGCAGTAACGATATTTGCTTACCGTCTCCAATTTTACGCTCATTGCATGTACATTTGACATGGACTCTCTGTGTTTTGCGAAGTTCTCGACAATGTGTGCACTGTGTTATCGGTCGACCTTTTCGTTTGATCTCATAGAGGGTCCGATCTCCATGGTGACAAGCGGTTGACCTGTGGCCCTTGATACAAGTTGCGCTAGAGCAGTACCGTTTGCCAATTAGATATCAATGCGAGATTTAGTAAAAAGTTGTAGTTGTCGGTCCTTTTCTCCTAAGCAACGACTTACCAGGCGTATTTTATTCCGTTGATAAAAACCATCTTCACGGTAAGCCAACAGGGCAGACCTCCGCACAATAACTGTTTGGAGAGCGGCAAAATTTGGTTCATTGTAGGAGGATGGTTGAAATCTCGTCTCACTGTACAATTACGGTTGCTGTGTAACATACGAATTGGCCAAAATTGAAAAACCTTTATGCGGAGCTATTGGATACCTTCCCCAATCATAGGTATGCGTACCAGTACTTGAGGAGTTAAAGCGCACGTTGTCTTGGTTTCTTATGCTATTAGGATATATGCTGCATTTTCCCTATCCTGACCCTCATCTGATATCAAGAAACAATGGCAAGCAATTCGAATAAATGTCTTATTGTTATTGTTAATTAAAATTAAACCATTGAAATCATATATTAATATTATCCTATATTCAAGACTTGATACTTTTGTCGATTTAGTCAAAGCCATTAACATTCACATTCATCGTCAAGCAATGTAAGGCGTAAGAAGGCATGCTACATTGAAATTATTATTCCTTTCAAAGATCAAATTAAAGTTTTGGTGATTATTCTATCTCGCGGCGAATGTGTATGATGTAATAATGGATCCAGTGAATTCGAGCAAAGGTATGTTGGTTATTCGTTACAATGATGTATATGGCACGATGGCTCTATTACTATATGGAGCATGTGAAATACGTCGAGCGATGACTTGTGTCAGTGGCAGAGATGAAGCCGAGATATAATATTGAAATGGAATTGATATGTCTCTGAATTACCTGTTAATTCTACTCATTGAGAGAGAACATGCAATTGCAATTGTTAGGGAATTTACTAGTCATGTTATTTCATTTAATTTGTCAAAAATGTCAGCGTTGCATCACACGACATTGACATGTCTGTCCTTTGTGAGAAAAGAAAGCGGTGCTATTGTCTAAGAAAGATAAGGAAATGGGAACCACCTGAATCAAAAATGTTAATTCAAAATATTGAATGTCGAACATTTTTATTACTGACACATGTAGAATTTGTATAGACATCTATTCTCGTATAAGGATATATTACCAGACAATAATGTTTATATGTTACACATGCTTAAACCATTTAATTGCTTTCCGCAAAATAAGCCATTCACTTTATTATTTTATCAAAAGAATGACGACAGAATCACTTTCTGGTCTTGTTGAACAGCTTAGTAAAGAAATGAAAGATTGTATGAAAGAAATAGTCCCAAGAGTTCTCTTGGTCGAGACAAACACAGATAGTAGCACGGCCAATAATGTCCCTATACATATACGTGAATACGTGGATGTTGACGAAGAGGAAAGAAAAGAATTGAACGCTGTTAGAATACGAACTAGTAGTTTCCTACAAACCGCTAGAAAGATGCAAGTGGCTCTTGAGGAAATAATAATATCCAAAAGAGATAAGAGTGAAGAAGAGACTTTGAAACAGGTTGAAAATTTTCTATCCGATCGTTAATTTCGATCGTTAATGATGATTATGAATATCTGTTAATGGAATGTTCTTTATTTTATATCAGGAGATTGCATGTCTGCAGCAAGATACCGAGAAGAAAAAGGCAACCATTCAGAAATACACAACGCTAATGCTCCAATGGTCAGCCGAATTCGCTCAGCTAGAAGAGGAGACCACAGCACCACTATAAATGCACGGAATGCTTAAAGTCTGATACATTCATTCATTCATTCATCCCTGTAATCATATTGTGTGAAACCATAACACACTTTTTAATTGTCTTTCAATATTAAGACAATTCAGGTAATCCGATTCCAACTGCGAACTGACTATTTTCAGCCGCAATATTTCTTCTATGAGTAGACGGAACCAAACCTACAACGAAACACATTAATAAATTACGTTTACATATTTCGAAAAGAACGGCATAGCGAGTTCTTGAAAACTTACCGAGAGATCTAGCACGCCTGATTGCCAAAGCAACCTTTCGCTGATTTTTCATAGTCAGCCCTAGTTTGAGCGAGCAAAGCAAGTAACAATTATGAGTTTCGACGGTTTGTCGTTCTTCAGAATTAAACATATAGGCTATATACCTGTTCTTGATCTGGGTAGTATCTTCCCCATATCAGACACGAACGCTGACAATATTGTAAAGTTCTATTATAAGAAAGTTAAACCGTTATTAATGTCATTATCACGAGCAACTTTGTAACAAAAACTTGATTAACCTTATATTCCTTCAATGGGTCTAAACTCAATACATCAAAAACATCCTCAGAAATGTTACGTCTTGCTGGGCGATATCGACCCTGAGGTTGTTCTTCACTCAAACTCGTTGGATCGTAAAGCTATATGAATTACGATAAGAGAGCAAAGACATTTGCCGTTAACATACAAACAAAGACCAAGTTCAGAATAGCCACTTCTCGAAAGTCTATTTAGTGCCGTATAAGATCTACATGCCTCCCCTGACTTGAAGAGACGTTTATGTCTAAGAGTCCCCTCAACTCCTTGTGACTGAGAATAGCTAACTGTAAATGTGTATACATAGACACAGATTAAGTCTGAGTTGATATTCTACTGATGAAGCACATTTTATTCACCAGTCATCATGTTGGACTCTTTAAGAATCTTCAAAATGTGTTCGTGTGAATCGAACGGTTTTTCTTGACTTCCACCTACGAAACAACAAAGTAGGTTAGAAAACCAAGATAAGGCAATTGTGAAGAAAACTTTAAACTTTTCGACCTGCCGATATACTCTTTTCCTCTCTATCGGTCGTAATCCACCTTTTTTGCAAAGTATTAGTAATTCTGGGTCCACCAGTGCGAAGCAACGCCCGCGATGCTAGTGAAGAATAACCCATTTTTTTTTAAATGAGATGGATTACTGCTAAGATCGTCCTATATTAGTGCACGTGGGTGACAATTGCCGAGTATATCGAGAATTACCAATTCTTTGGAATAAACTATAAAATCTTTCCTGCCAACAGGTAATTGGCATTCCCCTAATGATTAGAAAATGTTGGCCGTTTCACCTACAGTAATTATTGGGTGAATTAAGTACTGCGAAAAGACTGCCTCGGCTACACACTACAACGACGAAGCAAGACAAGAAAATTATAGAGATAGCAGAGAAGGAACACGGTATAACAGCGACAAAATTCACGAGGACGCCGTTTTACAGAATCCAAAGTAATCACCACACGCCGCTCTTCCAATATTTTTTAACAGATGATCAAAACATCTCATTGCCTATTGCAACTGTTTTGTGGAACCGAGATCAAAACTCTATTGAAAACGTTAGTTAGCGGCGATGCTTAAATATAAAGTGTTGTGCCGACTAGCAGATGATAATCGGCACTTGGTATTTAGCTAGTTTCTACAGAGCGTGGCTTCTCCTCTCCTAGATAAATCTCGGTTTACAGTTAGTGAAATCAAGGTTTTGCACTTACGAAAACCTTCGCGTCGTATGTCGACTTCTAGGGTGAGATTATTTCCTAGTCTGCCGTTGGGGTACAATAGTATTTTTATAGGAATAAAACGCGTTTCTAAATGAACAATTAAATATCGTTGTTTGCCACTCAGATAATCGCGGGACAAGAGGCGGTTATCCTTTGTCGATATACGGATTAGCGATTTCTCAGATATACCGACTAATTTAGAGAATAGGGTATGAATAGTACAAATTCAGAGTAAATGCGATACTCGTTTATTAACAAATAATATTATGAAATAAAAGAAACTTAAGGAATCAATTCAATACTGCGAAGCACACCGATTCTAGCTGAGATTATATATCTTTCTGGCGAACTAATTGATCTATTTTTAGCCGCTGTTATTGTCTTCAGTATACGTTGTTACTTTTACAGCGATGGATGCCGTCTCGCTTTTCTAGATCACTTTTCTATTGTTATTATTTATGTGCTACTCCCTCAATGCTACCCAGAGTTGCAGTGGAGGCAGGCGACAACATTCTAGATCGGTTTCACAACCCTTATTTAGCTCATATATTGACACAAACTTTCCTCCAATATTTTCTTTTCCCGTTTATGATCACTCTACCCAGGGAATATGCTTCAGTTAAGTCAAAGTTCTTCAGCATATTTTGCTTTACTCTCTCAACCATTCTTCCTATTACTATGTCATTCTAATCTGACTCCTTTGTCATACTCTAAACCATTCTTTTGTTCTTATATTCTACCTGATGTCTATTTAGTAACCAAGTGGTTTGTGCATGCAGCACCATACCAGTTTTATTTGGACAAAATCTCTTTTCTATATCCATATATCCTCTTCCCCAGACCTCCTCCTCCAATCCATCCCAATAAAAATCCCAGTTAAATTATTTTCAGTCTTATCAACTCCCACTTTGCTAACTCTGTCCTTCTACTTCTAACTCTCCTACTCCTTCTCTAACTACTATACTCTAGCTACTATATATGTATATGTGATATCTTCCTGTAGCTGTTCTATCATTGGACTGCATGCACTCTGTCATCGTGCTGCTGCTACTGCTTCCTGACTCTCTATGAACTCATGGCTTGCATGAGTAAGAATCCATTGCAGTTGCTTCTCTGTAGGCTGGATTTTAATTTGTGCAGATGATAGTAACAAACTCCAGTCCCATGATCCACCTAGCAAACTCCCAGAATCGGTCTTGGCATTGGACTGGGTAATTGTATCTGTCTATGTCATAGTCTTGACTATATGGATTGTAACTTGATGAGACTATACCTAGTGATAATAATAACTCCTCCTTAATGTTTATTGTAGATGGCATATACCCTGTACTCTGTGCTTGAAGTTATCTTCATCAAAGAAAGGGTATTACCATAGAGCACTGAATATAGTACCCCCCTTAAATAGTATCCCCCTAAATTAGGACCCGGGTACAATTCAGGAATTTTTGGTAAAGTTTTTGAAATGTACCCGGGTACAAATAGTTTATCGTACGTCACGTGTTACATATACTATGGTAATAGTACAATGCGAGGAATTTCAAAGTACCCCCCTAAAATAGTACCCTCCTCCGTACATAGTACCCCGGGTACATCCCCCCGGGTACAATTCAAAAACTTGAGGTGTTCTAGATATGTACCCGGGGTACTATATTCAGTGCTCTACGGTAGTATGAAGGGTATGAGTTCATGTCCAGGTAAATTCCATAGTAATCCATGTTGACTGATATACTTCTTCCAACCACTCTTCAAACTTGTCTTCTGGTTGTTGACCTGTTGTTGGTATAGCATGCACTTGACTCTTTATCATGCTTTATTTCAATGACATAATAATATTTATGGTATTGTTATGGCAAGCCAATCTGATGAATCCCAGACATCCATGCCTTTGAGTTATACTTATATACTACAGAAAGCCTCAACATATCAATTCCTCAAGATTTTTGCATGGCCAATGACTAAAGGTTTATTTTATGACTACCAGTACTATTTGTTGCAAGAAGCACAGTTTATCCTTTGAAAATCAGTAGTTAATAATATTAGTAATGGTAAACAATATCAGACAGAGAGTTGCCTTTAAAAATTACTCACAAGTTTTTTTCTAGCAAATGCGCGTTTTGCAAGCATTTGGTTTGGCATTATGCGGAAAAATAGGCCTGTTTCGTTGGCGTTATAGATATTATCTATTATCTGGATCATGTCGAGAAAGAAGTTTCTTGGCAGAGTCTGTAATGGGGCTGAATTTGCTTCGCCGTGCAATCTGTATGCACGCGAGTCATTATCAATTCGTAGCTTAAACTTAAATATCCAACCATTAGAAAATGACAATTCGTCTTCGGAAATCTCTAACAACTTAGCAAACAATTCCGCCTTCTCTGTAACCAAAGATTCTGTAAGAATTACACCTTTAGATGTCGCAATGCTCATCGCCTCTTCTATTAAAGGGAATTTAACTTGATGATGTTTAAAACCAGTTTTAGATCCTCCTTCAACACAAAGCCACTTATCTTTCTTATTAATTATCTTGCTGATGGTTGTTCGGTCAATGTTGAGATCATACTTAGTATTGAAATGAGCTGCAATTTCAGCTTGAGTACGTAGCGTGTTATCTTTATTAGCGCGCAATTTTCGCGTCACCGATTATGATAGGCGTTCATTTTCTCTTAGCATGTGGGTTTCACGTGATGTGACTAAAGGGGTATTACTAATACTAATATAACTTATGATATTGGAATAAATTTAGTTGGAGGTTGTGACTATATACTATATAGAACTTGACTATGGATTCGACGTTTAAATCACATTTCAATTGAGTATGCTCGATAAGAAGACTAAATATTCGGTTCAATACTAATTTATTAATTTAATCAAGTTAAATGTTAGTTATGAGATCAGCAAGTCCTGGTGACAAAGCAGCAACAAGGAGTTGGCTAGTTTTGAAAAAAGAAACCTCACGTTTGAAATTGATACTAAATTTGTCAATAGATGGAATCTCTTTTTATTTAGTTAGTATACACGGAATTCATTATTATACTCTCTTTGCACAAGGCTGTTCTATAAGAATAATAAGAAAATTAACAGATACGTTATATCACAATATTTCTTGACATGTAAAATGTCTGGAATAATTAATATTTGCTATTCTGTACCATTATTACTTACAATACTCCTACCGGCACCAAAATATTTAATAATTAATTTACTAAATCATTCATACTTCCCACTGCTATTGGCAGCAAATGGAAGTGGAAGTGGAAATTCACTATCTTTGGTTGGGCGATGACTAGAGTGAGATGATTCTTGTCCCGACCCAAAAATGTTCCATAATACTGGAGTCACCACTAAACTCAACGACGTTGTTGTCAACAACAAATAATACACTTCACGCGAGATGATGCCAGTAGCTTTAGCACGACTGCCGAGTACAAATGCAAACTCACTAATTTGTGCCATCCCAATCGCCATAACCGCTGCTCGCCTAACATCCCATCCGCACGTAAACAATGCAGCTCCTGCAATTATATATTTAAACCCTACAACGCCAGCAGTAAGAGAAAGAAGTAGTAAACCTTCGTTGTATAAAAAGGAAGGATATATATGAATACCTATGCTCGCAAAGAAGAGGCAGGAGAATATGTCTCTCACGGGTTCAATTATATTGATCGATGATTCAAAATTAGATTTACGAGTATGTATGACAACTCCTGCTACAAAGCATCCAATTTCGAAGCCAAGACCAAGAAAACTGGCGACTTGTGACATGAGCAGACAGAGTGAGGTTGCACCGAGAAGAAACAATTCGTTTGTCCCTTTAACCCTCTTGAGAGGTAAGGCAGCTAGAATACGCGAAACTAGGAAGCTGAATGCTCCAAATATGACGAGAGAAACAAAAAGTCTCCCGATTGCTAGAATCGCTTGGATGCCTGATTTGGACAGAGCAGGTAGAGCAGCCTAGTGTAAGAATAGAAGTATTGTCAGTAAGAGATGTTTGCAAATATCGCCATTAAACTATAAATAAAATAATCACATTCTGTGGGCCATTTGTGAGTTCAATAAGCCTAACCCTTAGTCATATGATCTATCGAACTTACCAACAACAACCCAAAAACTATGTCCTGAATCACTAAAGGCCCATACAGCTGTTCAAGATCCTGAGACCTCAATCGTTCAACCACAACCGTACTCGAAAATGATATGCACATCCCCACGAACGCTGCCTCTTTCCCGTTCGACCCAACAAGGAATCCAATGAAGAGTGATACAGTCAATGTCACAAGTATTATAAATGACGCACTGCCGAGCGCAAATGTCCACGTTCTTCGTATTTTCTCGAATGAAAATTCGAGTCCTAGCATAAACACGATAAATATTACGCCAAGTTGGGAGAGTGTTTCGGTTTGTATCAGTTCTTGAATTACGTTATATCCTGCTGGGCCAAGTAAACAGCCTGCGAGAATGTATCCAAGGAATGCTAAAATGAATTGACAGGGGCAGTAGAAAACGAGAGGTTTGGGAGAATGTGATGAGACAATGTCAGATGATCAATATCATACTATAAGGTAAGTCTGGTTTAACGAAGAAAGCCTTATGAAGAAGTTATATTAAAGCAATTCATCTGACAATATGTGGAAAGATTAACGTTCAGAACAAGCTAAAGATTTACTTGTTCTTTGCTATTTTTTTGTTCCAAGTATTAGTTATTCTAGTCGCTTCGCAAAATAATGGTCCGTATCAACAAGTTAATCAATGGGAAGGGAATACTCCGTTAAACCAGACTTCAAATAGTTAATATATTACTCGTTGTAGACTTTACCAGGTAGACCAATCATATTTAATAGCCAGCCAAGTACGAACGCAGCAACTATTATAAGTATTATATCGTTCAGCAAGCGAGCGTCTATTAATCAAATACGTGAAGACAGTGAGTATAACCATACGACTTCAAACCGTAATGAATGATATTGTAACATTTCTTCCAAGTGTCTACAACAACTAACTCTCACCTTCATAGAACATTGTCAAATCATTAGGCCTTGTCAAAACGTATTCATTATGCTCTTTGTCAATCAAAGTAATCACTCTCGCATGTCCATGGCTATGCGAACCATCTTCACTATCATGCTTTCTACTCTCGTCAGCTATATCATCATTTTCAATTTCTTCTTCCTCCAACTCTTCAAGTCTAACAACAGTCTCCACAACTTCATGTATTTTCCCATTGTCCGATCCGTGTCTATATACATTGTGATGCATTCTTTCCTCGAGCAAATCGGCAGAATTCTTAACTTCCTGAAGTACGCTGTCAACCATACCATCTTGAGAATCATGCTTATATTCTGAGTGCTCTAGGGAATCTTCTTCTACTTGTTCCTTATCTGGGTAATCACCGTATAGAATACTCTCAATCGAGTCAACACCTGATATGTTTAGAATCGAGCTTTTGAAGTTGTAAATTAATTTAAGAGCTTCTTGTTTCAATTCAACATTCGGCTTGGCTATTATGGAATCGTTAATTGTCCCGTCAAATAAGCGCAAGACGTCAACGGTGAAGTCTAGGAGAGCGGTTACACCCTTGAGTTTAGCATCCAGTCTAGATATTCGTTCTTCTTTTTGTTCAATTGTAAGTGAGTAATCTTCTTGGATTCCATTGCGACTGGCATCTACTTTTTTTTTGAATAGCTCGTACTTGCAAATGAAATCTATCTCGTTACAACTAGAGAGTTTCGAGGTAGGCTAGAGGGGAGACAGCAAAAGGAATAGTATAACCACAATAAGGAATGGTATAAAGTTGTAATAGGATTAGTATGATGGTACAATACAGAATAGCATAATGTGAAAGAGAAACAATAACACAAAGCAAAGCTTGCGATCAGACACCGAGAAGTTATACATACGTCCGCTTCGGTTGTTTCTAATTCTGCTCTTGATGGGGAATCTGCCGCTAAAATGTCATTGATCTGGTCAGAGTCCTCTATTGCACTAACTATCATGAAACGCTGACAAATTAGCCAGACTATTAATAGAATAATATATCGTTGATGCGTTGAAGGTAGCGCCGTGCCCATATTCTCGTCTAATAGCAACTTATTAATCGTGTTTGTAAACCGGTCTCGCGGACACGAAAATATATTAATATTAATATGCGTTCTTGGTTTACTATAAAGCCGACATATTAATATTTAACCCAATCCGGTACTAGTACACATAAATGTTTAATATTTATTATTATCGTTATTACGAGACTATATAATCACGTGACAACAAAGTTCCAAATTTAAAAATAATCACGTGATAGTTTTTTCAATAATGAAGTTTGAGAGAAATTTCGGATGCGATTTCCCCAACACTTGGGAGTTAGTTTTGTGTAATAGAATTACAATAAAGGTTTTTTTGCTCACAGTGCATGTTTAGTAATAATTTTGTTTATTGAGCGCAGATAGATGTATTTATATAATAAAGTGAGTAAATATTCGCCATTTTATTACGAGAGTCGCGCATAAAACAACATGCTCATAAAACAACACACCCAGACCATAATGAAAACACTGAAAACTAAGAAATGAAATTAAATATTGTATCACAATAATTTTGAAAGATATTAATATTGTGAACGCGATAGGCGAGGGTTCTTTTCGGTATCGCTTCATGATTGGGGTTAACGATTATACAAATCACACGATAACCACATGTGTAGACGAATATTCCCGAACACACTATTCCTTCCAAGCGCAGAGAAGCATTACTCCGACACAACTTAGTTCAGTGATGTTATAATACTCTTCGTTTGGCGTCGAGCGGTAATGTCATCACAACGGAATAGTCAAGTAACTCATAGTAATATAACTCCGTTAGCAACCATTATCGGAGAACTCCGGTTCGGTGAATTAACCAGCAAACTAATTATGAACACTCTCGAGTGAGGGAGTTAACTTGTCGAATACTCTAGTGAGCTTCCCGCTACGCAACACCTAGGTGGAATGTTATCCATACTCAGTTGGACGCGATGACAATGTCATGTAGTAATGATGTTACCTCTTCGATCGTATGTTAAGTGAGAAACCGTTATAGCGAAATATTATTTGTTATAGTTATATCCAACCATTACTTTTATGTTTATTAACAACGGTTCTATCAAGGACATGCACTAGAGATAATAATATCTCTCTTTCACTTAACATCATCGGTAGCCTTTATGTTGGTCAAGAAAGTTATTAAATGTTCACCACGAGGGAATACATACGTAACGAGCCGACGGAAAGACTCGCCCCGTTTTGATACAAGTAATAATGTTTGACACAACATTATTAACTCTTATTCTTAGCGAACGTATTCAATTACGAACGCTTTTACTTTATTCTTAAACATGATCTTTCTCAGCGGACAAGTATTGTTCCAACGAACTAATATGTCCGTAATAGTAAATAGAGTTTTATTTCATTATAGTTTTCATTATCGTAGCGGAAGTTTTATAGTTAACCAGCTTCCATATCGTTACGTTTCTATCGTTCTGCTCCTTCTTCACGATAGTCGCTTCAGGAGACTTAAGAACGATTTTGCATTTATTATCCTTTTATTCGAACTGATCGTTTTCAGTATTGAATCGCTTGCGATAAGTTAATATGACGAAAGTCTAACAAGGTTTCGTTATGCATATACCGAGTTTCAGGGAATTATGCAACGGTTGAATTTATTTTTGAGAATAAGAGTTAGAAATTATTTATTTAGTTTCTATACTCCGCAGCCAATTAATGTCCAATAATAATACAAAGATAAATTAAATGTTTCGGACTTAGATTTCGGTAAATACCGCAATCGAAATGAAAGAGAAATTGGTTCTAAAAACCTCTCTCTCTCCTTATCCTTTTTATCTGCTGGATTTGGTCATTTAGTATTTCATACTGAGCCAGCAGTTCCCGCGGTTTTGATCAGATTTAGTTTGTATCACAGGCTAGTCTCCTAGTTCTAGCCCACTTCCACCATTGCCCGCCTTTTTTACTATGTGTGTGAACTGAATGTTTGTGACTTTTCAGAGCCATTTTTCCAGATCGATGTCAATGTATGGTTTGATGTTTCCTATTATCATTACTGATCGTTTGGACCTGCCGCAACAATTGCAATTCATCCCCTTGCACTAGACTACTCTCTAAGTCCTCTACTCTAGTCATGCTAATATAGGAAGAATTATATTTAGGAGAATGTTTCTACAATTGTCGATTTTGGTTTTCCCCAGATTGGGAGTTCATTGAGGGTGGTCCAGAGGGAGACCACTTTTTGATTTTCTCTCCGGATTTCCATGTAATCTCCTGTCTGGTTTGCTTGGACCTTCCACTTTCTGGATGAGAGGTAGTGGTATTGGGCAGTATTGATCTTTCTCAGCCAATATGGCTTGAGGTATTCATAAACTTCTCTGAGGCAGGCCCAGATGAGAACTTTGAGCTAATGAGCTTGACAAAGATTGAGGCATTGTCCATTGATTATAATGTGCATTGTTTGTTGGTAAGTTTTATTGAAAGTGTTTGGTTTAAGAGAGTTTGTTTTAACAGTTGCTATTTGCTTGCTTGAGTTTGCTTGCTTTAGCACTTTCACTGTTGTGAAGTTGATGGGGAAATAGTGGGTTTATATAACTTTCGAGTATTGATAGTGTTACTTTCCATTGTATGAGCTGCCATGATTCATTAACAATGGTTCTCATTAATTTGTGCTAATTAATATATCTACCTTTAGCAACTTGTTTACATTGTGATGCTACGCAAATCAATGACGTATTCTCTCCTTTATTTCTGCGTTCTCCGACGGTGCCGCAGCCACAAATCGATCAGCGGTAACACCAGCGCAAGCTTGCGGATTTCGGAAGTACAGTCACTATTACGAGGTACAATCACTGCTGTCAGTAGCACGAACATTTCACTGTCAGTGATAAAAACAGTGCTGAAATAGTGATAGAATAGTGATGAAACGCTTCAGTACATTCTAATCGTATACTAAAGAATTCGATAGAACAGTAGAATTAGCTGCTAAGAATAGATCAAATCAATAAATGCATGTTTAGCATGTCTAATTACTCTCGATTCCTTTATTGTAAATAAATGAGTAGTTCTATATTAATATACTCTGAAATACATTGTTAATGATTCATTCCCTGGTAACTTATCGGTATAGCTGAGAAACCGCTAACCCTATATCGATGAAGAATAATCACCTCCCGCGATTATTCGAGTGGCAACTTACGATAATTAATTGTTATGTAGATGCGCATTATTATGATTTATACACCATTGTACCCCAGACGGGAGATTATCGGAATAATCCCTCGATAATAACCGACGATACACTCGAGAGCGATTACTTATCTAGGATTAACGTCATTCTACGACGAAATAGTTCGTAAGTGGAAAGCCTTGAATTGACGAGGTCACTAACTGTAAACCAGACATTAACTAGAAGGAGGAGGCGCCACGCTCCGTCGAAATCCCAAGTGTCGATTACTATCTGCTTTCCCGCAGTAGTCGGCACGATAACATCCACTGACAGAGTTATTTTTAACATGCACCAATTTTTTAGATCATTATCAAAAATTCTTTCATTGCTCATATGCCAAAAGTTTTGTAGATTTCGGGGCAAAACCATCTCTATACAAGGCATGTAACGGTATCAGGCGATCCAGTGTTTCACCTTCTAAATTCATTTATTTTTACATGATAAACAGAATTCTTATCGTTTCTCAGATGAAAGTCAAATACATAATAATAAGTCTTACGATTACCGCAATCGAAATGATCATCCTGTACTCTATCTCAATATTCAGATATCAAATCGTCGTTGCTATAAAGCATATGTAGACTACAACGCCAAAATCAAATAAACGCACCAGACAGTCTCGTAATGCTATCAACAAACGTTGGAAGCAAGTAAAAGACTCTGAAGTAATGCCAGCACACACTTTTGCATAAAGAGTGAGATACATGCTTGATAGTGATGAATTTGCAACCAAATACACTAGAACAACTCGTTGGAAATGCAAAAAAGTACACAAGTGCTTTACTGTTACTACAAGTGGCTCTCGATATAAGAAGTATTTTTGCTGGTCCCGATTTAAAATCTTATAACAAATAACTAAGATTTTCGATATAGAAAATTTCAGCAGCCAATCACATTGAGGTCACGTAATTTGTATCCACCAATCATACTCGGGCGACACCGAAAATCGCTATTAAAATTTAATAATAAAGTGAATGACAAGAATACGTAACATTACAGACCATACCAAGAGCTATTAAATTACGTATTTCTTTTAATGTTTACATGAGCAAATAAAATTCCTTTACACTTTAAAGTAATGAAAAATGTTTGATAGCTTTTGAATGCGAGACTCGATGCTACAAAGATTCAAGACATTCGTCACAACATTAATCTGCTTAATAGACAACGAAAATAGGCGTCAAACTACCGCATTACGGCTTTGTTGAGAGACTACTAGAATGATACTATGACCTCAAGCTATCTATTAAGTGCAAAATGAGAATTCTCCTGAAATACTGATGGCTATTGAAAGGAACAGTTTGTCAACAAACCTCCCAAATTAATAACAAAGACAAAAACTATACTTAAAAAAACAAAGCCAAAAATTAAGAGAGGAAATTTCACTTGAAACGAAAGCATATTTAAACCAACAGGTTAATTTTTCTTGCCTTAAATTAAAAGATAATGTACAAAATTTTCCCCCCTTGTTTCTGTTCAAATTATCGATATCAAAGATCATTTTACTACTGTATCCGCATTTTTATTGTTCAAAAACACAGGTCCCTGGCGGATGGAGTAAATGGGTAATACAAACTTCCATATTTAAACTCCGATACAAATCAATATTCGGTGCAACTGACCATATTAGTGCCCAGCTCACTCTTCCCCACACCTTTTATCATTTTCACCTCGAACAAACACACATTGATCGTACTGTCAACACATTTGATAATGGTATCATCACCTCTTCTTAGTCCATGCCTAATACCCGATTCTGTTCATCCACCAATTCCCGGCGAATCACATCAGTTTTACGGGAATAGTCATATCAAAGAAGTAAAGTTGCCCGAGAATGCACATTCTGATTCAACAAACGAATCATACAACGTCTTAGAATCCAGTAATCAGGAGTTAAATATACATGAAGCTTCTGCAGCAGGGAAGCTACGTAAAGTACAAGAGTTATTAGCGCTCCATGCAGGCGGAGATACTACCAACTCTTTTTTATTAGCAAATGCGGCAAAAACGACCACAGGTTTTACGCCTTTGCATTATGCCGCTTCCAGAGGCCATTTTGATGTAGTAAAATGGCTTGTTGACTTTGCAGGTGCTATTGTGGATTTGGAGGATTTCACTGGCGAAGTAAGCATGACGTAGTTTAAAAATGGATTGTAAATCAAAATGAGTTTGGTATACGGTTGATTACTGACAAGTAGTTTACTACTTTGGCATTAGACAGCACTTCTGAAAGCTTCGCTCGCAGGTCATGATCGGGTGGTTGAGTTTTTGCTTATGCGCGACGCTAAAGTTGACCGGAAAGACTCTGATGGATGGACTGCACTCCATAATGCTGCGTCACAAGGTCATCTTCAGATTGTGAAGTATCTCCTTCAACATACAAATGCTGCTGTCGATATAAGAAGCAACAAAGGACATACACCCTTGAGTAAGTTCATAATTGATAGTATTTTGAAATGTCGCATACGATTTCCATTTATCTGATAAAAATTATTAATGTATCCAAAGTGAACGCTGCATCAAAGGGACATGTCGACGTTGTAAAATATTTATTGGAACGAAATGCCAACCCACTTGCTAAGAATTCACTTGGTGAGACAGCATACGATGCTGCTGCTGGAAGTCGAGAACTTCATATCTGTGAGATATTAGAGCGAGCAGAACGCGAATGGTGGAAAGGAAAGAGAACACAATCCGAACGTATGTTTCATGTTTCAGTTTCATGCTCTTTGCCAACACACCTGCTAGCATGTATTAAACCAACACTGGTTATTACTTATTTATTTTAGCTACTTTACTTGGCGATCTGTCTGATAGTTCAGTAACTAACCAGTCATACGATGTCGTGGCAATCCATATCACAATACCAGCCGTTCTTTATGAGAATCAGCGCAGTTCATCCTTTCCCATTCTTCGTGGCTCACACAAATTCTCGACCTCAGCACTTCTGAAGAATGATTTGTGTGGACCATGGTCACTTCCAGACGGAAAGCCAATGTCAAAAGACCAGTTTCCATTTCCTAGCAGTGGTTCAGGGAAAGATCGTGGCGAGTGGGTCTGGATAGGCACATGGGAGATCGACATGTCTCAGTCGCGAATAGATGCTGAAGGGTGGCAATATGCCAGAAGTTTCGATGAAACAGAAGAGATGTGGACAGAGGCTCCTTCAAGTACTACTGGACGTTATGTCAGAAGGAGAAGATGGATTAGGATTATGAAGCGTGTTTTGGATGAACCGACTGACGAAAGCGATTATGTCGCTAAGGCCAAAGCTGTTATCGATAAAGGAAAGCCCGAGAATGGGTTATCAGCATCAGATGAACTGGAACGTTTTACGCAGGCAATAGAAATTCTCAAGGATGGAATCGAAAGTTAGTTCGTGATGTCAATATACTTATTTACTATTATTATTGATAAATTAGGTGGACTAGTAGGCATGGTGCACCAATTATTACAATAATATTTATGCGTATGTTTTAAATATTAATAATGATGACAGCCTCATTCTTTTTATTTATTTCGACTTTACCCATCTTCAATCATAGAAAACCCCGACTCAGCAAGAAACTATGAAGCAACTGCTTTAATGGCCTCGTATCTACAACAAGCCGAACATCTCAAAACTTTTGACAACCAAGGAAATGGCGTTATCCAAACACCACTTAGTCCAAGAGATATACCAACAACACCAAGCACCCAGCGGCCATCAAGTTCGCTATTTTATAAATTAAGATCACCAGATAATACTCTATCCAACTTCACTAACATCAAAGCTTCATCGTCCACAAGTCTCAGTAGTCTCCAGACTATCGAGAATGCATGGTCAACTAATCCTCAGAGTGAAGACGTCGGGAATTCATCGTCCTTATTTGAGGGTACTTCGGGGCTGGGATCACCAACAAGGCCTCAGACGGCTTTGAGTACAGCGACTGCCTCCGCTACAGGACTGAATTTATCAAGAACGTGGGAGAATGATGAGGATGTAGTTGCGTGCCGAAGATGCTTTAAAAAGTTTGGGTTTATAACCCGAAGGCATCATTGCAGGTTTGTTACAAGCTTTGACAATAATATTTTGAATTTACACTTTTTTGGTCATTGTCATTACGTCTTTTCTCTTTGTTTTAAATCCAATGCGCTTTTTTAAATATCCTTTTGTATCTGACAATGTTACATGCACACAAACTTTCTCCTTCCATTTTAGGAAATGTGGACAAGTAGTATGCGATCGCTGCTCGACAGCTCGCGTCCCGCTTCCTCCAAACCAAGTCCTCCGGGACCCATCAGAAGTTACAGATACGAGTACATCCCCGTTCTACCGTGTTTGCGATTCCTGTTATCGCACATTCGATTTACACAATCGACAACGATCTGGTAGCACAGCAGCATCCATAAACTCCACCAGTTCAATGTCCCGGCAACGACGACGCGACAGTTCCAGTTCGATATTGACCGAATGTCCTGTCTGTGGTGTTCAGATGAAAGACATTCCGGGTGGAAAAGCCGCTGAAGAGGAACATGTTAAGAACTGTCTAGAGAACAAGAATGGAAACAACATTAGCGGGTATAAATATGTGGGTGAGCAAACCGTTTTTGGTAATTAACGCAAATACGAATACTGGATAAAGGGTCCTACTAAACCACCTCTTGTCCGGCGATATATCAAAATAATATCACACAATATACATAAATTGCATATTTCTCCCTTTTTTGGATCTTCGCGCGAACCTTCCATCAAACTCGTTGATCTTCCTCTCGATGGCTGCTATTTAATGTGATTGCAAATTTGTGACAGTTTACAGCCTCCCTAAAGACTCCCCACTCCTGGGCCAAGAGTGTCCCATTTGTTTCGAAGAATATGTTTGCGGTATGAAAAGAGGGTTTCGGAAGTTGAGGCGTTGTGATTTTGTTTACAAGAGACTTAAAGAGCATCTTGTATATTTTCTTTAATATTTCCACTTTCGTGTTTATATGTTCCTCTCTTCTTCTTTTTTCTATACATCCACCCTATATATTAATTGTTCCCCATTAATTAGGCGACTCCGTAACCCGGCATAACTGTCTATGTTCGTATCACCATCACTGTATAAGAGAATGGTTTGCGCGAGGGAAGGATTGTCCTATCCATTGCCTCTGATATCTGATTGTATTATTATTATTTTTTGTTCATTTATTTCATACGGTACTCGCTGTATTTACACTTCAATTGCACAGTAAACTATTCTATATGTCTATAGTATCGATTTTCAAGATCCGGAACAATACTCTGTGAAGGTGGTCGTTAAAGCTTGTGATATTATTTTTATATGTATACCGTGGTCTCTGTCATTGGTTGTAGACTGGGAATAGAAGCTGAGATATACTATTAGAGAATCCCCGTTTACAGTCGAATAATCAAGATCGCCAAAGATAACCGCAAAATACACATTCCCGGCATTGCAAGTACTATATAACCAGCAGCTTTAATGATAATCAAAGTCACAATTAGATTGTAATCCAGGGGAGCAGAGAAACTCAGGAATGGTAATAGCATCAGTATTAATTATCATAACATTTATATTGAATTCACCTATTAACCGCTTCATAAATTACTAGACATTTTTGGGCTATTTCAACGTATAGTATATTGTTTAGACTAAACAGCTACCCATATTCCCCTTGCATTCCACTCTCGTATGGTTTAAGTTACCAATTCGTTCAACTTGTTTTTCAATCCAAGCGAAGCATTTGCCAACTGAGTAAATAAAGAACTCAGTAGAAATTTCCTGTGCTTGAATTCATTGTCGTCGACTAACACACGAATCTGACTAACATTAGATATCTGATGAAGACATTGTTCGAATGCAAGTAGTCCCATGGCTGCTCTTGTATGTACCGGAATAGCTTCTGCGTGCGTTTTAATAGCTATGTCGAAGTTGTCTATGGATGCCTGTACTGAGATTCCTAAGAAGAAAATAAGAGTGAAGAAAACGGTTGTGACTACCTGAGTGTATGGAGATAATTAGTCGTGAGTATTATGTTGTATGAAATAAGCCAAAAGATCCCTCGGAAAATGTCTTTTTACCCCTTCGGCTCCTCTGAAAATCTTTAGAAATGATTCTCGATCGTTTTTCCACGTATAATACGCTTGAAATGGGAATGTTGCGATTGAGGTCCTAGATATAGGACAGAATAATAAATATACCTCTCAGCTTCAATGGCATCACCTAATTTAGACTTACCATGCTACTCCAGATAGTCCATAGTTTGCGGGTTTATATAGCTTGCTCCATCGTATGCGTTCGGCTTCTAATCTTTCCGCGGCTTCTTTTGAAAGCTGGGCCAACTTGTGCGCTTCAGTAGAAAGGTCCTGTAATTGAACTATAAACGAATGAGATACTCATATCAAAATGTAAGGGCCGCAAAATATTATCAAATTGTTAAGAACATCTGATTACCTTCGGATCTATCAAGCGAGACGTTTCTTGCCGCTTTCTCAAGTCTCTCAAGCGTATCAGTCATATCTTTGACTTGGTAATTTTTTCGAGGAACAAAAGCCATTATCATTGGATTCATATTTGCCAATTGCCAATATGAAAAGTTTAGATGATGGAGTGCCTGTATAACATGCACCATTCTAAATACTAACAATGGGAATGCATCAAATATCTGAAGAAGGCATATTACTTTCTCATAAGTATGTAACAAAAGAACCACAAGTCTCGACCAAATAAATAGTAAAGCTCGGACAAAGTACCTCATCATCAATAATTACGGCCTTCTTATCTTCGATCAACGTATTGATGGCTTCAATGAGAGGATTGCATACATCATCTTCGAACCAATACTTCTTAATCGAGAAAGCAACAACAGGCGACTGTTCATTGTCTCTTTCAATTGTAAACTTTGGTCCAGGAAATAGACAATCGAATGCTGCCGTTTTGTTGCCTTTAAATACATCATTAATGGCTTGACTTAATAGTTTTATGTCAAATACGTCGGCAAATGTTCGAAGGTGCTTTTCTTTCCTTTTGACTTGTGACAAAAACTCGTCAGGTATCAGTGGATCAAATAAGACATTATACGATTGTCTATCGCAGGGAATCCAGTCATCGAAACCGTTTACAGTTAAATTTCCTACGATTAGATTTGTACGAAGAGTATCTATGAGGACTTCACGCGATATGACCGAAACGTCAAAAGAAAACTTGATCTAAACTCAGTTTAATGGAGATCACATGGAATTGAAGTATTTCAGCATAAATCCGTTCTAATTGCATTCTACAAGTTTAGCAAAAAGATATATGCCCATACCCTGGCTTCATGTCTTATATGCTGCTTGTCATCATACTCTCGTCTTCGATCTCTAACCATTCGACTTTTTAACACAATAACGCTCGCAGTTGCCGAGAACAACGACTCGAGCGTCCGATACACTACAACTGACTCACGCTACATTCATTTCATACATTATAAATCAATACTTTATTTCACACCAACGTTTGACCATAGTAGTCACAAAATACCGTGAGATTATAGATCTCAAATATGGCGTGTTGGCGGTCAGCATCGTCAGTGTTGTCTTCAACTATGTGGAAGCGGTCGCAGAAAAATACGATTGGTCTTATAAAATAGTAAAGGCGTTTGGAACTTGGTCGCGGAGCAAGGGAAAGCATTATAAGTGATTGTTAAGGTGAGAATACGAATGATGTTCGAAGAGGATACTGATACCCATTTGTATAAAATTGACATTTGACGCAAGAAGTTGAAATTTATGGTCACAAGGCCAATCTCTAGAACATTAAAATGATAATAATAACAAGGAGAGTTGATTAATTAACATTTATGAATATACTGTATGTCTCTTTGACAAGAGAAATCGACTAACTTAGTTTTGCTGAAATATCGTTATTATTATATTATATTCACATTAATTGTATTAATTGTTTTATCAAGTGTGAATTTATATTCACTCGTCAATGACACTCGTATTTGTTAAAGTTCAAAAAGAAGCAACGGTCAGCTGATCATGTTTTATAAATTCTACGCGGGGTAATAGTAACAGGTAAGTTACCAATTTCTTTGTGCAATGTAATTGGACAATAAATAGTTCAGGTTAACACGTAATACAATTGTTCGGTTTGCGTTCTGGGTTCTGTGGATGTATACGTGGATAATAAGAACATTGAGATCTTTAAATGCTTTTCAGTGTGCCATTAGTATTAGGCCTTTGCTTATTAATTTGTTCGTGTGCTGCTTCATCTTGAGTACCAAATAATTGCACTTTACGTGGACTGAGATAATAAATTTTACTTACCTTCCTGTGGAAACGTGAACATTTTGTGCTCAATCGTAACTGTAATGAGCAGTAGCATTAACGCTACAATAATCAGTCTAACCTCTTGGTATAATGCTTATCTTTGTTCTTCTACTAATTTCGTATTTTTGTTGTAATATTTCTCTCTGACTTAGCCTTAACCAGATGTTCTTTGTATTTTTTCAGTAAATCTTTTGCTTCTTCTTCCTTGCGAGCATTGTACTGTAAGCCATTCCGAAACCGTTGATAAGTATCACATAAATCCGTTCTTGGACTCATAATTTGAATATAAAGCACCATAACTTGCGAAAGCATCATATTTTAACAATTTCAACTTCAAGATATGCGATAAAGTCGCGATAGACTGATTCATAACTCGGGACACTTTTTTTTACATTACCATAAACGCGCGGTATTACCACTCGTCGCTAGGTTATCTCTGACATTTTCGAAGCAATTCCCAATACGGTTCTGACGAAGTGGCGTATTGCGATCTCAATGATAAAAGTTCTCTTATCAACACGCGTTTTCTTTTAAGACGTCGGCTGGTGCTTAATACCTTCCCGTCCTTTGCCTCCAACTGAGCCACTAAAATACATTTTGCTCGGGTCTAGAGAGAGCTTGAAACGCTCGTATTCGGCAAGCCTTTCTCCGGAATCGTTTTTGAGCAGCCGCAATTGCAACTGTGTCCAGGAAACCTATAGCTTTTTCATATTCAGCGGAGCCGTTATATTCATTATTCTTCATATACGGATAATCCTATATAATAATTTAACGGTAAATCTTAATCTATTATAGAGCTAGAGTGCTTTTAATCAGGAGGAATAATAGCGAGTTGTAACATATTAAAGGTTTGACAATTTTATTCATTTGAACATTCAAGCAATATTAATTTTCTCTCACTATTAACATTTCATATCCTACACGGAAGCAAGCTCCTCTATCAGACAACTCCTGAGTGTTGCCTCATCAACAGGAGCCCGGTTTCACTACGGCGGAATACGCCTCAATCTTGACAGTATCAAGAATGTCTGGGAAGAGAAGGATGATATGTGTATTGGTGCTGATTGTCTTATCGTCACTTTTACGAATATACATATTAATTGCCTGTTTACAGGATCACAAGAACGTATTTTCCTAATTGTTATCACACTTCTACTAATGTTATGTTTTAATTCATATGATGCTAGGTAGGATGACGTAAGATGCGCTAGCTTTCTTATCATATGAGTATGTATTATTTTGGTTTTACTTATTTTTCGGTTGTATTTTACATGTAATCATTTGTCCACGTCAGTAGCAGCGTAGACCACTCATAAAATTAAAAAATATGTCCAAAGTTACACATTCCCAAAGAACGTGAGTCACGGTGTGAAATTAAAAAGGAGAGCAGCTCTCACACCTCCCTTCTCTTTCTCCCTTACGATTTAGCGTCATGCTAATTCATTACATGATATAATACTATGCTTTGTTACACTATATAACAACACAAACGCACAAGATGCGCACACTAATGCACACTGAAGACACGGCACACTGACGCACACACGCACACTAATGCACACGTATAACTCTTTTTCATCCCCCCCACCATGGATAATCGACAATTCCCATTGAAAATCACATGTATTATCCTCTCGTCCCTATACCCATAATGATATCACCATCCAGGCAAGAAGTGTCTTTAAAGAGCATGCTACAGAATGGGGGAGAGTGTTGAAGACATAGAAATGATGAAACTTTTTCCATGTCTGAAAGCATTGCACTGTTGGCTAATATCATTTATGAAAGAGAGGTGGTCAGCAGACAACCGATTGGCATCCACATCCACAGCAACACTGCCGGATCGCCGACAAACATATTAATATCGACATTGACATCACGCCGGAATTAGGGAGGCTAATATAACTAGAGAAGACATTATTATTTCCATGAAAGAGACGAGAACACAATCAGCAGTGTCAGACGCGTCGACGCCACTGTCTGACTGGGGGCGTGATCTAAGCCCGCCAAGAGTTCGTAATTATAGTTACGTACTGCCTTCGCGCCATAAAGAAACATTTGACATAATTAGTCATAGAGAAGTAGATGATTGTTTCTTCAATGTACAGTCAACATTGTTTATACCGGCAATGTATACTACTTTGATACAATTATAACCAAAGAGTCAAATTAACGTAACTAGTTTAATTTTTTATAGACATAATTTTATTATCTTTATTATAGAATGTGATCGCTCTTGAAAATAAGTACCGTATCCTTCCGAATTTAAGCACTACTTTTTTTAGGGGAAAATCGGGACAAAATTCCTAGTGGTGCTTAAATTCGGAAGTTTTTTTTT